ACATAAAGCAAAAAAAAAAAAAAAAAAAAAGAAAAAAAAATTCCTTTGTTATTCCTTTGTTATTTAACAAAGGTGACATATAAATTGAGGCCTGAAGCATGAGAAGCCAACCACATGAAGAGCAGAAGAGAAGGTACTCCAGGCAGAAGGCTCTACCACTGAGCCGCATGCCCAACTTTGGGCAGCAAAGGCAGGAGGATCACAAAGCCTAGGCCTGCATGGACTACAGAACAACCTAGCAACTCAGTGAGATGCTGTCTCAAATCAAAAGTATAAACAGGGGCCAGTATGTGGCTCAGTTGGTAGAGCTTACCCAGCATAGCTGAAACAGCACAGCATAAACTAGACTCGATGCAAACCTTTAATCCTGGCATCCAGGAGGTAGAGGAAGGGGGATTAGAAATTCACAGTCAAGCAGCATGGCCCACACAACTATCAGGTAAGCTAGGGCTATACAGCAAGGCCTTATTTCAGAAAGAAAAGAAAAATAAGGTCATCTTCAAGAACATAGGGAACTGGAGTCCAGCATAGGATACAAAATGAAGACCCTGTGTCAAAACCAAGCTGGGCATAGGACACGTGCTTGCCGTCCCAGCATGGGATGGACGGAGAGGCAAAAGGATCGTAAACTTGAACTCATTCTTGGCCTCTTGGGTGCAGAGCAAGCTGAAAGCCAGCTTGGACAATATGAGACCTTGACTCAAATAAAAAAGCACTAGGTGGTGGGCACATGCCTGTAATCCCAGCACCAGGTAGGTAGAGGCAGCAGGATCAGTAGTTTAAGGCCAGCATGGGGTACATAAGTCCCACTCAAAAAAGAAAATGAAACAAAAACAAATTAAAAAAAACCACACACACAAACTTCAAGAGCAAACACAAAATTAGCTAAGTGTGGTGGTGTAATTCCAACAGCATACATAAGAGACAAAGGCAGGACCTTATAGAAAAGTTCAATGGCCAAGCTTCTATGTGCACGAAGCCTAGTACTCCAGCCCTCACACTACAGACAGAGCCTGCAGAGTCAGAGTCGGCTGAGACCTCTGCACAGGTTTGGCTGACAATGCTACAGAATGTGGGCACACAGGGAAACATAACTTCAAGTATTCATGAAATCAAGTGAGGGCCAAGGCCAGCGGCAGACTCCAGAGAAAACACCCTCCTGGGAACCTGCTCTAGTTCTATTTAGTCTGGCTTTTCTGCAGTGCTAGGGATGCCAAGCCAAGTGCATGCGAGCCAAGCTCTCCTCAACTGAGCGACATGCCCAGTTTTCCTCAGTCTGCTGATGTAATCCCAGCACTTACGGAGCAAAGCACTGCTCTTAGCCCTACAGTGTTGGCCTAGAGTGAGTTCGAAGACAGTCTAGGTTAAACGGGGAGACCCTGTCTCACAAAAACACAAGAACAAGCAATGGTTGGCAGAATGTACTCCCAAAGGGCCACAGTGACAGTGCAGGGCTCAGTTTTACCACGAAGTCTAGATGGAATGCTATGATTAAGTAGAAGAAACAGAGCTAGTGAGACTAGGGTTCAGCTGGGTTTGGCAGAATGCAGCTGTGATCCTGCACTCGGCGGGGCTGATTTGATACCCTCTATACTCATCTCCACTCTAAAAACACACATGAACGGCGTCAGTAAGTATTCCCCTTCCCAGGCCCTGCTTACCTGCATAGAAGTGATAAAAGGGCCACCACACAGCACTGTTTGGGATGTATGTTAGCAGTGAGGCCACATAGCCTCGGTAGAAGCCTCGAAGCCCATCAGCCCGCAGGATCTGTCTGATGATGTCCTTAGTTTGGCCAAAGGCAATGAGCCCTTGTCCCTCTAGGTTCCCAGGAACTTGGAAGCGACCCATTTTCTCGCCCTTGCGCTGCATCATCAGATGCTGGGAGACCACATCTATGGGCACTGTGATGCTCTGGGCCACGAGGGAGGCCGAGCCGCCAGCTACCAGTGATTTCACTGTGTTACTCTGGCTGTAGTCGGCTACAAATTTCCGGGTAAGCTCATAAGTGGTGACATAGCATTGGCCAGAGATGAGCGTGAAGGTGTTGACCAGGAAGCCCCGGTAGAGGCCAGCCACTCCCTCTGCTCGCAAGATCTTGACAAAGGCATCAAAGGTCCCATGGTAGAGGCTCTTGCCCTTCTGAACCTGCAGCCGGGTGCGAATGAGGGTGAACGGGTACACGCTAACGCGGATCATCATCGTCATTGCCACACCAAACACATAGAACTTCTTCTTGTCCAGGTGTTCCCACTCGATGATCTGGATGTTCCGCTTGTCCTCCATTGTGCCCAGAGACCTAGGATAGGGCAGGTAGGGGGATGTGAAGACTGCGTTTCCTTCCTGCCTAGGCTTCAGTGTCACCCCCTCAGGCTGTATCTCTTGGGATACTCACCTCAGCAAAGCCTAGATTGCCTGGTTCTGTCCACCCGCAACCCAGAGCAGCCCCTCTGCACTTCTGTCTTTGACCAGTCTTTCCAACTCAGAGTTCTTCAGAAGTCATTCCTCAACACATGACAAGGCTAGATCACTCAGCCCCTACTCAGCTTGTAGGACTGTCCATTCTGAATTTTGTCTCTGCATAGGTCTTGGCATCAGAGCCCTGAACATGGAGCGTTCTGTTTTACTTGCCTGGGTACGCTTAGGATGCTGCAGACAGTCCATCCACCTGGCACAATGGAAGGTCTACAGGGCTAACAGGATGTCACTAAGTGCGACACGGAGACCGGAATGCTCCTGGTTCCTCTGAAGAAGCAACCACCTTTGTCCTTTCATCCCAGTGTGAGTCACCTTACAACTTTGCTGCCTCTTACCTCCCTCCTGCCCCTATGCTGGCTGCTCTGACCGCCCCTGCCCCACCCTCACCATAATTCTCTAGTCTACTTTAGAAGAAAGTGTAGGGAAGAGTGCAGGCAGGGACCTCACACTACAGGGCATTCCCAACTACCTCCCCACTCTCCAGGGAAAGGAGTCTAAAAGTCGGGAACAGGGCAAAGATCAGAGTCCTCTTTGGCCATTAGCTAACCCAGGACCCAGAAAGCTGCAGGACCTGCTTGAATCTGGGCTGCTAACCCTAGTCGTACAAACCATAAAACAACAACAAAAGTTTCTGGTCACTGACGACAGTATAACAGCTCCAATGTAACCAGCCCGGAGCCACACAGCCGCTCGGTGGTCTCTACTCCACTGTGCCTCCTGGGCAACAATTTCTCTGTTCAATTCACTAAGTCCTCCATGGGAGGCAGTGCAAATGCTCTCTCATGCTGGTTCAGTTCTCTCAGCTCAGTGAGTCCAGAGTCAGCTAGGGCTGCCCAGGAGGCATGCGCTCATCACAAGACAAACAAACACAGCAGGGCTCAATCAGGGGCCTCCTGCTGGGCATGCACAGCCTGCATGCAGTGCAGGTCAGAAGGGCAGAGCAACCAAGTATTCTGTTCCAAGACCTGGTTTCCTGGGCACCTTCTTAACCTGTCAAGCTGAATGAGCCTGTACAGGCCATTTCTAACAAGCAATCCTAAGGAAGGACCCACTGCTCCATTTCCCCTCTTGCCTTCATCTCTCACTTGTATCAATTCCTACAAATCCTCTGAAGGAAGCCAGGGTTCCCCAAAGCAGGTAATTCCTATGTCATGGTATCAGGAGGAGTCACTAAAGCTCATGACTCAATCAATAAGGCACCATATTAGAAGGCTAAGAGGAAAAAGAAGTTTCTCCCCAAACAGTGGGAGCTCAGCTTGCTCACTATCTATAACCTCCAGATAGCCTGCTGAAATACCCGTTTCTCCTGTTTCATTTACTGGAAAATCCTCTTTGCAGAAATCTGAATACAAACATTCTTCAGCCTTCCTTTCTCCTGGTTCATCCAGTCCAACTTCTTCAGGACCCTTTGTCAGACCCTTCCTTGTGTACACAACTCCAGTTCTGGAATTTCTGGAACCTTTAAAACTGTTGGGGGGGGGGGCTGGAGAGATGGCTCAGCAGTTAAGAGCACTGACTGCTCTTCTTGAGGACCGGAGTTCAAATCCCAGCACCCACATGGCAGCTCACAACTGTCTGAAAATCCAGTTCCAGGGGATCTGACACCTTCACACCAATGCACATAAAATAAAGCTAAATAAACCATAAAAAAAATTTTAAAAAAAAAAGCTGTTTGTGGGGCTGGGGGCACAGCTCAGTCGACAGAGTGCCTGCCTAGCATGTACCAGGCCCTAAACTCAATCCCCATCATTGTGCAGCCGAGCAGCAGTGGCGCCCTCCTTTAATCCCAGCACTTGTGAGGCAGAGACAGGTGGATCTCTGTGAGTTTGAGGCCAGCCTGGTTAAAGAGCGAATTCCAGGACAGGCTCCAAAGCTACAGAGAAACCCTGTCTCAAAAACCCTCTGGAAAAAAAAAAACAAAACAAAACAAAACAAAACAACAACAAAAAAGAGCTGCGGTGGCCCAGGCCCATATTCCTAGCATTTGATAGGCAGAGGCAGAAAATCACAAGTCTATAGTCATCTTTGACTATATAGCAAGACCAGAGCCAGCCATGGTGACAAGAAACCCTGCCTCAAAAACAAAACGTTATTTGTGAATTGTTAAGTCCTTTCTTTGCATCTGGGATTACCCAGATTGGCAGCATTTATGCTCGAAGCTATCAAATGAAACAGAAGACAAGACTAGGGCAAGCATGTATATCTCCTGTCACTTCCACTCTCCTCACATAAACAAAGTTCACAGCCAGACTGCTCTCCTGGTTTTGTTGTTGCTGCTGCTTTTGTGTTTGTTTTGTGTGGGTCCATGTGACCCATCCTCCTGTCTTCACCACTTCCTAAATGCTGAGATTACAAATGTAAGCCACCATACACTTGTCCAGTTGATTCAGAGTTGGTACCAAGAAAAGGGCTTCCTGCATTTTACCAACTGAGCTAGAGCGTCAGCCCTTGCAGCTAGTAACTGGGACAGTATTTTGTTAACCGCCAAGTGTTTCTCTTACTGCACAAAGTTCTACTGAGCAGTGATGCTCTGAGCCCTCACCACCCACAGTGATCCACAGATCAGCGGTACGAGAATAACCTGGAGTTGCCTATACAAGTGCAGAACTAGGGGTGGTAGCACGTTTGTCACGCCAGCACAAGGAGGCCGAGGCAAGAGAAACAGGAGTTCACAGTCAACTGGCACAGCAAGAGCCAGTCTTGCTGGGGAAAGGAGATTTCAGGCTTCCCTACACCTGCTGATTAAGAATAACCCTGACATCTCTAGATGGTTTATATGGATTGTCAACGTGTGGGGAGCACTGTTTTAATTATCAGAGTGTCAGTTTTATAAGAATAACTGTTCTCAGGGTCCAAGATCCTTAGGTAGGTTAAGAGCCCTCTGACTCCATCTTGGATCTGGACACAATAATGACCAATCGGTTCATTTCAGTTTTTTCTGTCGACCACATCAGGTTGCCTTGTACTGGTCCTGACCAGACAGACACCCAAGGGCTGCAATCTTCGGACAGAACAACACTAACCAGCACCCTCTCTTCCCTACCAGGCTCTGCATTCTGGGAGCTGTCACCCACTTGAACGTCAACGTATTGTGCCGGAATACCTGTCGCGCTGCCTATTCTTTGCCCTTCCCTAGGTCCTGACGGTGTTTCCTCCCACTTCAAGACAGCCTCCTCCCTCCGGCACGGTGAGCTTCCCACCCAGTCTTAGTCTTCAGTTTAGGTTTCCACGTGATCCCTCATCCAGACACAACATGACAGTGCCCTCCAGGTACTCCACGGAACACCCTCCTTTATGCACCTTCGGTCCGGCTCTTCGGGGTCCCTGGGTATGCTCCTCGCCATGCTTCGCTAGTTGTCAGATTCTCATGCTCCTATGCCAGAAAACCTCGCCGGACTTGCCTTTCCTAGCCAAAATTGCAGGGCGGCCTCCCTTGGCGATGTAGCCCCGCATAGCAGACGTCCGCTGCCTCCTCGACAAGTCGGTCCTTAGGTACCTCTGATCCCTCAAAGCACCCAAGCACTGTTGTCGCTTACCTTCTCAGACCCCGGCGGTTCGGCCGCGTCTGAGAACTCCAGTCCTGGACTCCTAGACTGCGGTCCCCGCACTCCCCTCCATTCCCAGAGACAGACAAACTCGGTTCGCATCTTCCTCCATCTCGACAGGGATCCTTGTACTGCCGGAAGCGGAAACTAGGATGCTGTCATTCCCGCCCACTGTGAAGTTGCTGTAATTCCACCAATGGCAATTCTCAGCCATTGAGCCTCCCTCTAGGAGCGCCTCTTCTGCCATCTTGGATTCGGGAAGTAGCCACGCCTTCTTTAGCTTCGCATGCCCTCAAGCCTGACGCGCGTGCGTGTCCCGCTAGGAATCTTCGTAATTGGCTGGCTAGAAACATAAAGTCAGAAGTAGTTGGTTCTCGCTCCCTTCCTCTCTCGCACCCTTTCTCCCTCCCTTTCTCTTACTTTTTCTTCGTTCCTTTCTTTCTCTCTTATTTTTTTTTATTATTTTTTCTTCTCGTTTTTATTTTATTTTCTTCCTGGGACAGGTCTTGTTATTAAGGCCTGGCTGGCCTCCTAATTTATGAATCCCCCTCCCGCAGGCTTTCCAAGTGCTTCGATTACAGACCTCCGCCTCCACGCCTAGTTCCCAGGGCTGTTCCTGACAATACAGTTAAAATAAGTTACTTTTTAGAAATTGATTTTCAGTAGAGAGAGGAGGGGAATCTAATCTTTAATCTTTCTGTACCGTTTCTCATTTTTGGAGCCCAAACAGTAGAGATTAAAGTGCAGCAGGCACTGGTGTAGGAACTCAGGTTGTTGAGACAGGGACAAATTCCAGCTCTGGGTCTGGTTTTACCCAAATGCAGGTTTTTAAAAGTTGTTTGTAAGCCGGGCGGTGATGGCGCACGCCCTTAATCCCAGCACTCGGGAAGCAGAGGCAGGCAGATCTCTGGGAGTTCGAGACCAGCTTGGTGTACAAGAGCTAGTTCCAGGACAGGCTCCAAAACCACAGAGAAACCCTATCTCGAAAAAAAAAAAGTTGTTTGTTTATTCTATATTTTCAGTCTATGCTGGGTGGTAGTGTTTTGTCAACCCGAAACCGGCTAGATTCATCTGGGAAAGGGAATGGAAATTGTAGTAATTGCTTTTAGTGGACCGGCCTGTAACCAGTAAGTAGGTTGGCATTTTATGGCTAATAATTGATGTGGAGAGGCCCAGCCCACTGGGGTTGTGCTACCCTTGGGGAGGCTGAATGTGAGCCAAGGAGAAAGCCACTATGCGATCACTCACAGTCTCTGCTTTCCCTCTGGCCTCTTGGCTCCTGCCCTGACATCTCTTCATTATGAACCTTAACTTTTAAGATTAAGAAAATCCTGATTGGTGACAAAGAAGCAAAAAATATCAAATGGAAAAAAGAAAGCACATTTAACAAGTGGTGCTAGCATAACTGCATATCAACATGTACAAGAATGTAAATAGACTCATATCTATCACCATGCACAAAACTCAGTCCAAATGGATCAAAGACCTCAACATAAAGCCAGCCACACTGAACCTTATAGAAGAGAAAGTGGGAAGTACACTTGAACGCATTGTCACAGGGAACCACTTCCTAAATAGAACCCTAGAAGCACAGACACTGACTGAGAGAAACAATTAATAAATGGGACCTTCTGAAACTGAAAAGCTTCTATAAAGCAAAGTGAAAGACTCTCGAAGAGGTCCTTCTCTCAGGAGGAGACCTCCCCCGATGCCAAGGAACAGGCTGAGACCACACGGATGCAAATCACAAGAGGTTTATTGGGTAAACACAGGTACCTTCAGGCAGCAAAGTCTTTTGGAGGACTTGCGCCCCTGCCGACTGGAGGGCGGGTTTTTTATAGGGAAGGGCAAAAAGCAAATTTACAGAAGCAAAAGCATGGTTATTGGAATGAGGCAGGGGCATGAATGGTTTCCTCTCTCAGCATGGGTGTCAGCAAAAGTCATCCTGTTCCTATCTTACAGATATCCTGTTTTGCAGTCAACCTGCTTTGTTGATGTCCTATCTTATTGATATCCTGCCTTGCAGTCTTACTATCTCATCCTGCTCTCTCAAGCACATGGGATGTTCTTACGAGAGCAGGCTGGCTGCTGATCCGGAGAATTTTTTTTTTTAAGCAAACAAGACGTTCCCCCGGGAGCATGCTAGCTGTAGGGTCTTTCAAAAGGACACAGTCAACAAGATAAAACGACAGCCTACAAAATGGGAA